ACTTCTGATTTCTTCTTCAAAAAATAAACCCACACCTTCCTTGTAGAATCATCGATGAATGTGACATAATATAGTGAGCCTACAATAGATGGAACTGGAGATGGTCTCCATACATCAGTATGAACCAACTCTAACTTTTCAGCCTTGGGTGTCTTGAAAATCTTTTCAAAACTGAGTTTCTTTTGTTTGCCAAAGATGCAATACTCACATAGTCTGACATCTACATTCTTTAGATCCGACAGCCTCCCTATTAACAAAAGTGTCTCCATCCCTTTCTCGCTCATATGGCCAAGCCTTTAGTGCCATAATTTTGATTTTCCATCAACATCTGCTACTGCAATGATATTCTCTAAATTTGAGGTTACATAAAGAGTATCAGTCTTCTTACCACGAGCAATGAGGAGTGCTCCTTTAGTAATCTTCCATTCACAACCTGAAAAGGTTGTACTATGTCCTTCTCCATTAAGCTGTCCTACAGAAAACAAATTTCTTTTGAGGCCAGGAATATGTCTCACTCGTTTTAGCATCCAGGTGGTCTGGTTTGGTAACTTTAATCGGATGTCTCCTTTTTCGACGATCTTCAAGGTTTCATCATCAGCTAGATGAACCTTCCCAAAATCACCACTAACATAGTTCTCCATGATTTCTTGGCATGGGGTGGAGTGAAAAGATGCCCTTGAATCCAAGATCCATGATTCAATTGGACTGTTGACGCTTAGAATCATGGCATCACCTGTCTCCTCTGTCATGTTGGCAGACTTCTGTGCGCTGGTATCTTTCTTCGGTGCTCGACAATCTCTTTTAAAGTAACCCTTCTTGCCACAATTATAACATTTCTTTCCAGTTCTTGATTTGCCCCTTCTGGATTTGGATCTGTCACAATTTGAATTTCTTTATGAAGTTCTCCCTCTAGACTCTGTGTGCAAGGCTGAGGAGGTTGATGCTTCACCCGATTTTCTCCGTCGAATTTCTTTGCTCAATACCAGATCCCGAACATCGTCGAATTTCAATTTACTATTTCCCGACGAGCTGCTAACTGCTGTAACAGTAGCATTCCAACTGTCTGGTAGAGATGATATGAGAATTAAAGCTCAAACTTCATCATCGAAATTAATTTCCACGGAACTCAACTGGGTTGTGATTGTGTTGAGTTCATTTAGGTGTTGAGTCACTGATGCCCCTTCCGTCATCCGCAAATTGAATAATCGCCTCATTAAGTGAACTTTGTTTGAGGTCGATGGCTTCTCATACATACTGGAGAGAGTCATCATAAGACACGACGTGGTCTTTTCTTTTGCTATGTTGAAAGCAATATTACGGGATAACGTCAGTCAGATAACTTCGAGGGCTTGTCTGTCGAGAAGAGCTCAGTCTTCATTCTTCATGCCCTTTAGTTGCTTTCCTGAGAGAGGTTGATATAGATTTTTCTAGTACAGAAAATCTTCAATCTGCATATTCCAAAAGCCAAAGTCCGCATCATCGAACTTTTTAATTTTCACATTCCCTTCGTCTGCAGCCATCGCTCCCACTCGAATCTGGCTTCTTTGGATCGTTTCTGACAATTTCTACGAACACCCGTGTATTAGAACACGTTCGTTGACAAATTCGTATCGCCAATAAAATTTTATTATTCACAAAATTCACAATTCACAAAATTCACTATTCACATGAATAGTAACCTCATAGAAAAATCGACAAAATTAACCACCAAAAGCTCTAATGCCAGTTGTTGGGAAATAAACGAGAAATTTCCCTATAACCATATTAGTGAGAATACGAAATAAAAGCGTAAAATAATACCTAAAATTGATAACGGAGTTCAGCCAATTTTGCCTACGTCTCCGAACTGCTGTAGATCTTTTACTAGAGAGAGAAAATTTACAAGTGTTTATAAAACACTCACAACTCACAAGAAAACTCTCTAGTATAGGAAGAAAGAAATGATTTTTGGGATGATTTTGAAACTAAATGAGCTAGAGTATTTATAGTTGAAGCTTAATGACTGATCTTGTAAATACCCTAAAGTGTACAGAGACTAAAATGTATTTTCCCCATTTTATTTTAAACAAAATTTATTCCACCGAATTCGGTGCATTTCGGTGGCCTCCCTTGGCCTCCTTTTTTTGACTTTTTTTTTTATTTCGGCGGCCCCTTTCTTGGAATTTCAACACGTTTGCGGGGCAATTGTTGGAACTCGTACTGGCTAGTGTGGTGCAAGGGTTCGAGTTGAAGACGCCATTGGATAAAGCAATTGATATGAGTAAAGGCAATGACAAATATGAAAGCCACTCCCCTTCACGTTCTCATAACTCCACGCCTTCCTTCTTTGTGCTATTAGCCTTTTAATTTACATGAAATTAATGTCGAAACTTTCTAAGTTATTAAACCAAAGTGATTATAATAACTTCACATTTATGTCGAAACTTTTTTAATATATGATAATGCCTATAATGTTGTATTTTTATTTATTTATTTATTAGATAAAAGAGAGGCCTAGGGCTGGAAATGGATCGGATATGGGTCGGGTGGAGCTTCATCCGCCCCATCACCCACGGTCCAAATTTCCATCCACACCATCCATCACCCACAAAAAATTTCATCCATATCCGCTCCATCCATCATCCACGGGTGGAGCGGGTGGAGCGGATGAGAAATGGATGATACTATGAACAAAACCTATTTTTACATCCTAAGCTCAAATTCTTCTAACATTAATAGAAACCAAACATTGATACTCAAACATTCATAGAAACCAAAACATGAAAAATAAATTTTCATCTAATTCAAACAAAAACAAAATGAAACACAGTTTATATAGTCTTGTGCACTATGTTTGTGATACATTTTTCAAGTGAATAGATGCATCATGTATAGTCTTGTACACCAAATATAATCTTCATAAACAAACTATCACTTCTCAAAGTCCTCTCTATCCTAGTATCAATAGTGATAAACTAATATTAAAAAATTAGACATATTTTCAATGAGATAAAAGTCAGAATTAAGAGAATAAGAATATTTACCGAGTTAACATCTGCATCAAGCACTACACTTGATGAACTTCCCTCATCTTCCACATCAAAATCCTCCAAGATAGTAGCATATGCATGTGCATTCTCAATAGAAGCTTCTGAAATCATATATCAAATAAGACATCTGATCCATATCCGACCCGACCCATCACCCGACACATCAAAAATTGGGGCTTTCATTCTTTCAAACCTAGTCATGTGACAATCATCCGTTTATTTTTTTTAATATATATATATATATATATATATGGATGGATATATTAATGGGTGGATGGATGTTGCGGGTGATAGGTCGGGTGATGGGTCAAAAATATTTCATCTATATCCGACCCGACCCATCACCCGATCCATCCATCATCCGTCAATCATCCGTTTCACAACGGGTTTTCATCTATTTATTCGGGGCGGGTGGGTGGATTCACCCATGAATAGAGAGGCCAATTAGATCAGTGGGAACTACTTCTCAGCATCATTTGGTCTTTTCTGAGTAAACTGTGGATTTCAGGAGGAGGGGATGCAAAGGTAGAGTCCCAGTACCCTTCCCCTTCCCCTTCCTAACTTCGCGACCCTATCCACAAGGGAGTTTGCTTCGTGGTATGTGCTTGATCTGGACATTCCAATCTCGATGGAGGTACTCACGGATCCGTCTCGCAAGGGTAGGTTCGTGGAGGGAGGAGTTGCTCGTTAGGCTCAGCACGGATGCTTTGCTGTCGAGTTCAATTTGCACATCAGCAAAACCAAGCGACCATGCCATTTCTAAGCCGTCGAGAACGGCCCACATCTCCGCTTCAAAGATTGAGCACTTACCGATATTCCTGTTGAAACCATTAATCCAATTACTAGCGCTGTCGCGGAAGACTCCGCCACTAGCAGCTTCCATCGTCATAGGGTGAACCAAGCCGTCCGTATTGAGTTTAGTCTTTCCCGAAACAGAAGCACACCAGCTGCTTGTAATGTTGCGGTCACGGTTGCAAGGAGGGTGATAACTATGGCAATCTTTCATGCTGCGAGCCCAAGCTTTGGCCAAAATAATGGTTGACATTGCCTCCCAGATTTGGCCTTTAAACACAAAATAGTTGCGATTCTTCCAGATTTTCCATATGATAACTCCAAATAATTGTTGCCAATTAAGCTCCCGGGTATCCATACCTGCATTATTAGACAAATTCCACTGTAACCAAGCCAGTAAAGAGGTTGAGAAGAATACCTGGGTATGTAGTGGCAGAATCAGTTGGGTCCAAATGGAACTGGCATTGTAACAGTCACGGAGAACGTGGATGATAGATTCATCACTTTCTCCACATATCGGGTAGCAAGCATCCGTTCGCTATTGGTCATAAGAAAGTTTCGATGACAAGGCAAATAAAGTTGCTTATTCTCTCGGGGGGCCTTTGAAGTAGGGGTGATCATTTTTCGGTTTTAACCGAATTAATCGATCGAATTAAATTAGTTTGGTTAATTCGGTCGGCCACCGAATTAGTTAGGTCAGAAAACGATTAATAATTTTTTTAGAATTCGATTAACGGTTAATTCTGTTCGAAATCAGTTAATTAACCGAATTAACCGAAATTAAATTTTAAATATTAAATATATTATATATAACATATGGGCTCACCCCAAACCATTTAAAACTTAATTAATAATTTAAGATCAAATAATTTTTAAACTTAAATAAATATTAATTAATTAAAAAATCCATATAAAATTTTTATTTTATAATTATATTTTTTTAAATTAATTGTAAATTGTTTTTTGAATTAAAAAATATTCAATTTTTATATAAATTAGAAAATTTTAAAAAATTTCAGTTAATTCAAAAATTAACCGAAATTTATTCGATTAAATTAATATTTTTTAAAAAAAAATTGATTCGATTAACGATTAAAGAAAAAAAAATTTAATTAACGATAATTTGATTTGATCTACCACCGTTTTAACCGAATGAACACCTACTTTTGAGGTCCCAAGCCATATTCCATTTCTCATTTCTAAGTTCCCAACTGTCTTTGTTTAGCAAGTTAAAAGCGGACTTGGTGGACAAATACCCGTCCCGTCCCATTTCCAAAGGGGAAGATCATCGCCAATATCGTCAGACCGGGGGGGAGGGGAATACCCAACACTACGGCGAAGGACGGGCAGGTTCCATTCCCCCCTCTCGGTGGTAAAATCACGAACAACTGCTTGAGGATTGGTCTCTTTGGTCTCTGGAATAACACTAGCCAGGGGAACCAAATCGTTAATCCAAGAATCATTCCAAGAACTCGTAGATTGACTATTACAAATAGACCAACAAATGTTTACCCGAACATGCGCCCAAAATTTGGCGAGAGACTTCCAAACAAAGGATCCATTCTTCCCGTTGATGGGCAGAGGCATCGAATCCATCAGACTTGCTTTTGGCCTTCATGATTTTATTCCAAATCGTGTCCGGTCTCATGAGAAAGTTGTATCCTAGTTTGATTGGGAACACTTCATTCTGAGCTCATAAAGGCGACGACCAACTCTGTCATTCTTATGGGGTTGACAGCAAGTCTCCCAGCTTACTATGGCCATTTTAGGGTTGGTTGTCGTCCCTCACCAAATAAAGCGACGAACAATTTGTTCAAGCTGATTGCACACGCCCTTCGGAATACCCACGGTCTGCATAAAATAATTTGGGACGGTGAGGAGAGTAGACTTAGCTAAAGTAATCCGCCTAGCAAGAGAAAGTTTAGAAGTCGTCCCTTCGCTCAGTTTCTTTCTTACTTTGTCAATTATGAACTGAAATGTACTCTTAGTAACTCTCCTGTGGAAGAGCGGCATTCCGAGGTACTTCCCGAGGTCTGTTGAGGATTGAAAACCAAGCGAGTTACAGAGAGCAGTAGCCACCTCAGGATCAGTGATGGCAGAGAATAAGACCTTTGTTTTGTTGGAATTGACTCTATACCCCGAGAATCTGCAGAACTGGTCTAAGATGGCTCCCACCAAATTAGCTTGATGGTGAGTGGCTCTGCAAAATAAGATGAGATCATCAGCGAAAAAGGGATGAGAGAGGGGAGGGCTACCTCGAGATATAATCATGGGTTCCCAAAGGTTGTTGTCCATGGTGTAGTTGATACTTTGGCCAAGCCTCTCGATACACAGCACAAAAAGTTAAGGAGATAGAGCACATCCCTGCCGGATGTCCCTCGTAGGCTTAAACTCCTCGGTAAGCGATTCGTTCCAGAGAATTTACATAGAGGATGTGGTCACAACTTCCATGATAATACGACGAATGTTCCTCAGACACCCCATGTCCTCGAGAGAATCCTCAAGAAAATCCCATCCGACGCGATCATAGGCTTTCTCCAGATCGACTTTGACCGTCATCCACTGGGTTTTACCTTTTTTCTTGCTCATGGAATGGATTGCTTCTTGGGCCACCAGGAATATTGTCAGTTATATTTCTGCCTGCAATAAAACTAGCTTGATTCGGAGCAATTATTTTTGAGAAAATTGCTTTGAACCTGTTAGCGATAACCTTCATAACAAGCTTATATAAACAGAGCAAAACTAATTGGACGAAAATCAGCATAGGACTCCGGATTGTCAGTTTTAGGAATCAGAACAAGTAAAGTTTTATTAAACTCGGGATCTATAGGATTACCGTTGAAAATACCTTTCACCCAGTAACAAATAGAGGGACCAACCGTATCCCATTGATTCTGAAAACATATGGCATGAAGGTCATCTTTCTCCGAAGCTTTAAGGCGGCTCATGTCAAAGAGAGCTTTCTTGATTCTTCATCAGTGACGGTAGCGTCAAGGTATCTGGTCCTTCTGCGATAATCTAGGAAAGGCATTCCAAATTGGAAACTTACCTGACCGATCACCGTCCTCTCTGTAAAGAGAAAGAAGGAGATGGCCACGTTGCGAAGGATATCATCATCATAACACCACTCGCCATTCCTTAACTTGAGGGCTTGAATACGATTGGCTTTACGTCTGCTCAGGGCTTGGCTATGAAAAATTTTGGTTTTCCTGTCACCATCGATGATCCAATCGCTTCTTGACTTTTGGCGCCAAATGAGCTCTTCATGGTCGAGGACTTCTTCCAGCTTTGTGCGGACTTCAAGCTCTTTGTCAGCTAGGTGAATGTTGTTGGATCGATCCAGTTTGGCTTGAATGTTAGCAAGCTGATTTTTGAGTTTCCTCTTCTCCAACGTGATATTCCACACCTCCCTGTTCCAAACGTTAAGAATTTTTGTGAAATTATTAATAGAATGGGGGATATTACCTACGTGTTGCCAATTGTCGTTAACCAGCTTGCTGAATTGGGGATGTTTAGTCCACCCTGCAAGAAAACGAAAAGGCTGGGGTCGAGAAGGTCCCGAATCACCTGTGGTACTAAGGAGAATCGGCCGATGGTCCAATTTGATCCTCGGGAGGTGTTTCACCGTGTAATTTGGCGCTAACTGAATCCAACTATCGTTAGTTACCATACGATCAAGTCTCTCGAAAATGCCACCACGGGTCCAACTGAAGGGGGCCTTTGAAACCCAAGTCTTTCAGCTGATGGTCGTTGAGAAAGTCCTGGGACGCCTTGCAACCCCTGCCTCTGTGGCTGCCACCCATCTTCTTCTCACTGGACAAGATTGCATTGAAGTCACCGGCAAGGATCCACGGCTCTTTGTCGGTGTCCTGGGAGTTACTTAAATCACGCCAAAGATTCCTTCTTTTATTCCTATCAGGACTTCCATAGACAATGTTAATAGAAAAAGAAGAATTAGGCCAATTAACTTGAACCTGGACAAATTGGAAGTGGAAAACCTTCACTTTAACAAGGAGGGATCGTTCCACAAGAGCCAAATTCCTCCTAAAAATTCGTAAGCTTTCACTCTGAAGGAGTTATTAAAACCAATTTTTGCGATCACTTGGTCAGCCTTCAGGCCACTTGTACGAGTTTCAAGAAGGGCAACCATTGGGGGTTTGTGCTCTTGGATATACTCTTTCAAGATTCTCGGGAACTTGGTTCCGCCACATCCCTGACAATTCCACGTCATAAGCGTAAAATCCATAAGAAAGATAAAAGAGGGTAACCTTAACAAGTGCGTTTGGCACTGTCTTCCTGAGCTTCACCATTCCTGGGCGTAGGTTGAGGTTGCTGGATATTTGTACCAACTTCCGCCATTGCCTCCCGAATAGAAACTCCGCTAGGTCCTTCGGCCTTCACTTTTAAACCTTTGTTTCGAATCGCATATGGTGATTTTCTCTCTTTTGCGCTTGTAAGCCGTCTGCTGAAGCTGCCAGTTGTTTGCTTAGGTTGCGACATGTCACTGGGGGAAGCTTCTGTGTTGAAGCCAATAACTTTGTGGTGACTTTGGTCCAGAGAAGTTTTGAGCCATCTCCTTCCATCCCTAAGGAATTATCGAACACAGGTTTAAAGCTAGCTGTAAAATTCAGACCATCAAGACTTACCGTATCGTTCTGTTCAGGGATGGAGCTCCCTCAGGGATAAGGGGTTTGACCCGTTAAAATTTATATTTTTGATATAATTTTAGTTTAATAGTATTTTAGTTTATGTAAAAATAAATATTTAAATTTAAAAAATTATTAAATATTTAATCAAGCAGGGGTCGAACTAAAGAATTATAAGTCTGTGTTTTTAAATTTTTTATCTAATTACAATTTAAGTTATAATAAGTTTAAATATTAGAAAAATTAGAAGTTATCTTTTGAATTTTGAGTTTTGATTTTTTTTTAATTTAGGTTGAATACAAGATAATATTTGTACAAAAACTTTCAAATATTTGACAATTAACGCTCATACCCTACATATGTGCTTGAACTCTGGACCTCAAAGATAACAACAATCCCTTAATTACTATGGTCACTTGATTCATGCTGAATTTTAAATTAAAATACCTAATAAATCTTTATATTTTTCTTAAATAATTTATAATTACGGCGATTGCTAATATTTAATTTTAACTTCCTCCCAAATATCAGATTTTTGTGAGGAGCTTGAACTTGGGTGTTCGAATTAGGGCTTTGCATTGGAGTGATTACGGGAGCAGTATCCATGCAATTTTTCAACTGATTATTCCCATTCTTAATTTTGGAAGTGGTGCAGCTTTAATTTTCATAGGTTTTGCCTTGGGGCTGGTATGAGCACGTGTGTTGGGCATGGCAAATTGGCTTTTATTGGTGCCATCATTTCGCTGCACCTCCATTTGTATTTCCATGGGTAGAGTCTGGATTGTTGTGGAATTCGAATTAATTTCTATTATTAATAATAAATTCACCTTAAAAATTATTATATATATGACTAGTGTGAAAACGATTGTACTAAAAATCACTCCAAGGTAGATTCTCAGGAAAGAGTGGAGGGGTCACAATGGTCCCTCTTAAAACCCACTCTCCTTAGACAAAACTACCAAGACAAGTAATTTTAATAGGACAATAATTAACAACAACTATACCCGACAATAGCTATTAAATAGACATAAAAGAGAACACCAAAATTTAACGAGTTTAGGCCAAAATTATGTCTACGTCATTGAACACTACTAAAATAATATTTCACTAATGGAGGAAATATTATAAAGAGATAGAAAGAGTACAAATAACCTTTAATATAGAAGAATGATTATGTTTGTGGGATACTAAACTAAGGAGGAGGAGGGCTCTATTTATAACAAAAGAATTTACTCTCCTTCTTATACAAAACCAATGTGGGATTCAAAATTTGCCAAAAAACCAACAAATCTCCTCCTTGGCAAATTTCACACACATCTCTCAAAAATCCAATCTTCAGTAGTGTCTGCAAATTCATCTTTCAATTTGTAACAATATTGAACAAGTCTAAACAATGTTTAAACTTGACCACAGCTACCACTTTTGTCAACATATCAGCAGTATTCTCAATGGTCCGAATCTTATGGATTATGACTCCACCTTCTTCTAGAATCTCTCGTACAAAGTGATATCGAACATCGATGTACTTCGTCCTTGCATGGTAAACCTGGTTCTTTGCTAAATGAATAGCACTCTGACTGTCACAGTGCACTTTGATGTACTTCTGTTCCATTCTCAATTCACCAAGCAACCCTTGAAGCCAAATTACCTCATTCACAGCCTCTATAACTGCCATATACTCTGCCTCTGTAGTAGACAAAGCCATTGTTGACTGTAAGGTGGACTTCCAACTGACAGGTGCTTTTGCAAATGTAAACACATAACCAGTAGTTGATCGACGCTTGTCCAAATCACCTGCATAGTCTGAATCACAATACCCAACTACACACTGGCCATCTTGTTTGTCCTGTTGAAAGACCAAACCAACATCTACGGTGTTCAGAATATACCGCAGAATCCATTTCACAGCTTTCCAATGCTGCTTTCCAAGATCATGCATATACCTGCTCACAATCCCAACTGCCTGTGAAATATCGGATCTCGTACACACCATTGCATACATAAAGCTACCAACAACACTTGCATACGGAACTTTTGACATGTATTCCCGTTCTGCATCATCTTTAGATGACATGGATGCACCGAGCTTGAAATGAGGAGCAAGAGGTGTACTAACTAGTTTTAACTTCTCATTCATGCCAAAACGTTTTAATACCTTCCTCAGATATTCTTTCTGAGACAAACAAAGTCTCCCCAATTTCTTATCCCTTGATATCTCTATGCCTAGAATCTTCTTCGCTTCACCAAGATCCTTCATCTGAAACTCCCTGTTCAATTGAGTCTTTAGTTTTGCAATTTCTGTCTGACTCCTGGAAGCTATCAGCATATCATCAACATAAAGAAGAAGATATATATAGGATCCGTCTTGTAGCTTGCGTAAATACACACAATGATCATATTTGCTTCTTGTATACTTCTGCCCTATCATAAACTTGACAAATCGCTTATACCACTGCCTTGGAGATTGCTTCAATCCATACAGCGATTTTTCTAATTTGCACACCATCTCTTCTTTTTCAGCAACTTTTAATTCATCTGGCTGAGTCATGTAGATTTCCTCATCCAAGTCTCCATGTAAAAATACAGTTTTTACATCCATCTGAACTAGTTCCAAATCCAACTGCGCTACCAAAGCTAACAAAATTCTGATGGATGAATGTTTTACAACTGGAGAAAATACTTCATTATAATCAACTCCCTCCATTTGAGCGTAGCCTTTAGCCACCAATCTTTCTTTGTAGCGGATGCTATTTTTGTCAGGAAATCCATCTTTCTTTGCATATACCCACTTGCACTCAATTGCCTTATTTCCCTTAGGAAGACTAGCTAGTTTTCACATCTGATTATTTTGAAGGGATTAAATTTCTTCATTCATGGATATACTCCACTTTTTATGTTCTGAACTTTGGATTGCTTCATTAAAAGTGGAAGGAACGTCATCAATTGCAATTGGTGATGCAAAAGAGACCATATCAGCATAACGAGCAGGTTGTCTAATGGTCCTCTTTCCCTTTCTGAGTACAATTGATTCATGTTGCTGTGGAGGTTCTTGGGTCTGAACCTCTTCTTCATCTGAATATTCTTCTACCATAGGAGAGTCAACATCAGTTTCTTTACTGGCTGGGACAATTCTGCTTCCTTTAAACTCCACCTGTTTGGGAGTTCCATCTGTGTGCTCCAATTTTTCTAAAGTCACCTTTCTCAACATGGTAGATTCATCAAAGGTATTATCCCTGCTGAAGATTATTTTCTTTATTTCTGGACACCAAAGACGATAGCTTTTCACACCAGAGGTGATCCCCATAAAGATCGCCTTCTTTGCTCTTGGATCCAGCTTTGACTCCTTAACATGGTAGTATGCAGTGAAACCAAACACATATAAGGAATCATAATCTGTAGCAGTTTCTCCAATCCATTTCTCTAATGGTGTTTTACCACCAATAGCAGTTGATGGTAAGTGGTTGACAAGGTGACAAGCATAGACCAAAGCCTCAGCCCAAAATTCTTTGCCTAACCCAGCATTAGACAACATACACCGAACCTTCTCCACTAATGTACGGTTCATACGCTTTGCCACCCCATTCTGTTGTGGTGTATATCTGACAGTGAAATGCCTGATAATACCTTCTTCTTAACAGACTTTCAGAAATGGATCATTTTTGTACTCTCCACCATTGTCTATACGGAGACGTTTGATTTTTCTGCCTGTTTGAGTCTCCACCATCTTTTTCTATTTAAGGAAAAATCCTAGCACCTCATCATTTGTCTTCATTGTATACACTCAAACTCTCCAGGAAAAATCATCAACAAAGGTGACATAATAGTGTGTTCCTCCCAATGAAGTTGTCTTGGAAGGCCCCTATACATCTGAATGAACATAATCTAAAATACCTTTAGTATCATGGATTATTGTTCCAAATTTCACCCTCGTTTTCTTCCCTTTGATGCAATGCTCACAAAAAACTAATTTGCAAGCCCGAGCACCCTTCAATAATCCTTGATCTATCAGCAATTTCAATGATTTTTCACCAACATGCCCTAAGCGCATATGTCATAACCTGGTTGCTTCTGACTCCTGTTCATCAGTAGAAGCTGCCACTGGTGCTGTCCCAACAATTGCACTACCCAAAAAGTAATACACATTGTTTCTTTTCTGAATTCCCTTCATTATCACCGGTGCACCAGAGATAATCCTCATAATCCCATCTTTTTCCCTCACTTCTAAACCTTTTGACTCTAACGTTCCCACAGAGATGAGATTTCTCATTAAATCTGGTACATAATGGACACATGTAAAGGTTCTGATTGATCCATCCTGATTCCTCAAGCGAATTGAACCAATCCCAAGTGTGTCAAGAGGGGAATTATTTATTGTGTAGACAATTCCACTTTTTAGTTCTTTAAAATCAAAGAATCATTCTCTATTGGGGGTCATATGGTGACTACAAGCTGAATCTAACAGCCATGAACTGGAACAATTGGTTGATGGCATAGCAGCGAATGCGAAATCTGAATCTGCATCATCATACTCGACCACATTTGATTCTGAGACAGCCTTTCCCCTTTCAGGTTTGCCTTTATTCTTTAGCCTGAGACATTCTTTCTTCTAGTGCCCTTTTTCTCGACAAAAGGCACATTCATCTTTGCTCAATCTGGACTTTGACTTCGATCTCCCTCTCCTTCCTTTATTATAACTCTTCGAACGACCTCTAACAACAAGAGCTTATTCTTCGACATTTGTGTTTTCTTGTTTGTATTTCTTTCTTTCTCAATTCATAATTATACAAGGCATCTGTTACTTCACTGAGAGACACATCAACCTTCCCATGAAGTAGAGTAGTTTCAAGATACTCAAACTCATCAGGAAGTGATCCCATCAACATCAGAGCCAGATCTTCGTCTTCAAAAGTCATGTCCATATTCATCAGATCAGTCACTAACTGATTAAAGCTAGTAATGTGATCATTCATAGTGGTACTTGATACATAGTTGAAGCGGAACAATCTCTTTTTCATGTAGAGCTTGTTCTGTCCGCTT